GCAACTACGGTGCAAGGCCGATAATGTAGAAACTTGCATTTTGTACCCTTAACCTGACCTTGACCTGACCTCTGACCTACTCAAGCCAAAAAAATTGGACTCTAAAGATCCGCCTTGTTGAGAGCTTTTGATTGCCGTTTTCCCCGTGTTTCTACGACCATCGGTTCGGAAGTTAGACAGGGGGGGGGCAGAATCTGCCCCCCCCCCCCCAAGCAGGGCGCGTATGGCTGAATAGCCCAGCGGGGCGCGGGTTAAGCGTAACAGCAGCCATGGACCCACGCAACTGGAACGGGAGTAAGCTGGGGGGGGGGGAGGGGGCGGGGAGAGGCCATCTCAACGGCCACCCTGATGTGGATAGGTGCTCCACTCAGGTGTCTTTCGTGAGTTCTGCAGTCTGATATGTCTGTTAGCCCGGCTAAGGTAGTGTGTGTTCATTTGATGCAAAATAGTTTTCTGAGAATACAGAGGACAACTGCTTGTTCTGTGCGAGCGGCAGATCCAGACTATTAGTGAAGAACAACTCCTAAGTTTTACCTACCTAAGGTGCCTAAAACTCAACCTCTCAGCTCTCGGCTCTGGAGCTCAGGCGCCACCAACGAGCAGTGCTCCGGAGAAGGTGCTGCCGCCTACCGGTGAAAGCACCAGGGACCTGCACTTGCAGCGAATAGCTGATCAGACGTGTGTTTCTGAATTTTTAGTGAGAGAAACGGAGTTGATTTTGGTACCTATAAGATAATTGTGAGGATCCTTCGTGGTTAGGGGTTGAATTGTCGAGGCAATGAAGGTAGGTAGACATTTAGTGACTGAGCTCATTCGCTATTCTTTCATTCGCGACGGCCATCTTGTACCTACAAATTTGGTGCAGATTAGGTGCAGACGGGTGTAGATTTGGTCAAATTGGGCTCAGGGTGTTTCTTAGAAGCTATCAGTTTGGGTGGCTGACAAATGCTTACATGCCTCATTTTTCACATTGTCAACCGTTATTTTCGATTAACCCTATTAGTGGCAGGGGGGGTTGTTTTTATCCATCCCTCAGGTTTTTCGGGAATATCTCCGAAACCGCTGAAGCTACGATGTTGAAATTTTCTGACTTTTCCTAAAACTAAATTGGGCACATTCCCTGAAAATTTCAAGTTCATAACTTTACCAGGGGCGGCTCCAGAGCACTGGGAATTGGGGGGTCCTATTCGTGAAGCGAGTCATTTTGGGCGAAGATCACGATGCTGCACCAGTTTTACGAACAGTGAATGAAAGGTATCATGTGATAACATATACAAAGTTATTGTGCATCCTCTTTTGACACGTTTTTGCTATAATAGGCGGATCCAGGCGTCCAAAAAGGGGGGCTATTTTTTACCTCCCAACATAGGTGCCCTGACACCGCCTATGCATGACCAATACAATTTTAGTCGTTCTCTCATCATAAGAAAATTGTAACATAACAAGACCATTGCCACCCTTTTTAAAAACAGTACCAACAAAAACCTTATTTACTATACTTTTTGTGTACCCCCAATCTCAATGATCTGTATCCGCCTATGATTTTTGAAAATGCATATTTTTAGGATCCATGTGAATTCCTGGTTCATTCTCTATCGATCGGCAAAAGTTGCGTTAAGATTGGTTCAGAAACCTGGCCGTGATAAACAGTCTAAAATGTATCTGCAATTTGCCCGTTTTTACCCCCCTCTACCCCCCTATTGACATTTTTTAATTTTATTTTTTTTTAGAAATGTAGATCTCGTTGAGCCAAATCGAATGCCGTTTGAATTTTGAAAATCGGCCGGTTAGATCTCGAGATATCAAGGGGGGTCGTAAACAGCCCCCCCCCTGCCACTAATATGGGGTAGCCAGGAGCCTGCCACTAATAGGGTTAAAACACTGAAATAAATTAATGATGTGAAGAATGAAGATACCTATTATGAAATGTAAAAGATATTTGATGCAGATTTGGTCAAATGTCAAATTAGGTGCATTCACCGGATAGCCCGTCGCGAAAGCGGCATTATCGACGTAATTTGTCAAAAACGTCCTGATTGGGAAAGTTTGACTTTTCATGGCCTTCAATGTACATACCTTTGACGTAACATAAGTTATTAAAATATTAATTACCAAAATATGTATGCATCCCTATTCCCTTGTACTGCCTATGCAACCTTCAATAAGTGCTCGAGAGACAAGACATTATCAGATCAGGCAGCTGTTGACCTGGTGAGGAAAGAGACGAGAGAGAGAGAAAAAAATAAGAAAGACTGAGAGAGACGCAGCAAAGAGAGAGAGAGAGAGGGAGAGAGAGAGAGAGAGAGAGAGAGAGAGAGAGAGAGAGAGAGAGAGAGAGAGAGAGAGAGAGAGAGAGAGAGAGAGAGAGAGAGAGAGAGGAGAGAGAGAGAGAGGTCTTACTTCGATGTCTGATGATGCAAATACCTATAACCTATAATATGTACATATAATAGCCGTTTTCACGACGGCCATCTGGTACATACACATCTGGTGCACATCTGGTACAGGTTAGGTGCAGATTTGGTCAAATCAGGTTCAGTGTGTCTCTTCGCAGCTATCAGCTAGGGTTGCACTAATCGCTTATATGCCTGCTTTGTCATATTATCAGAGAGCATCATCGATTAAAACACTGAAATAAACTCATAAAATGAAGATATTTGCTGTAAAAGAAATTAGGTGCAGATTTGGTCAAATCAGGTGCATTTGCCGGATAGGCCGTCGTGAAAACCGCTAATATGCATATAATAGGTAAGTACATATAATATGCATTATATAACACCATCTCAGATTAATTTTCCTGATTCAGGTTTCTTTTTTAGTTATGCTGCATCTTGTATCATGAAATCACCATCCCCTGCACGGGCACACCATGACAAGGCACGGATTTCTCTCGGCCGACAGGTACGAAGAGACGTTCAGGGCCCAGCTGGCCCAGCTTGGAGAGAGTTACGTGTTCATGGCAGACTGGCTCGGCGCCGAGAATCTGTACAACATGTAGGTACGGCATCAGGCTCCATCGCTCCGTCTCGCCTCCCAGATGCCCGCCAGCTCGGTCAGTCGTTTGGGGACCAGGATATCGGTGCTATACCGGAATATGTAAACCTTGCCGTATTACCTTAATAGGGCAATGAACACTTACCATAGTTCAACATTTTTTTTTTTTTTGTGAGCTGTCTGAGACAAGATAGGGGAGAGTGGGGAAAGATGCCCAGGGTTTGACTATGTCATATATTATTCGAAAATGACGATCGGGAAGCCAAAACTTGGAGTTTCTACGGAAGCCGACATCATTTTTCTCCAAAAATATCACACTTTCGTGCTTGAAATATGACAACTTTTTTTGCTATTAAGCATTTTCCTGAAGAAGTGAAAGGGGGCATCTTACCCCACAGGGTGGAAAAGACGCCCCCTGGCGTTGGGTAAGATGCCCCCTGCACTATAAGTGACATAAATAGGCACGTGAATCGCCTGAACGAATCAGTAGTCCCTTCGAGCCTGCAGTAGACACCAAACGTCATCGTAAGGGCCCTCAAAAGTAGTCGTAAGGGGCTTCAGAGGTCATCGTTAGGGCCATCATAGTCCAGCGTGGCCAAACAAGCCTCCGTGGTGGCGTTCGGAGACCACTGTGGGGCCCTTATAGGTCTTCATGATGCTTGAGGGCCCTCGAGCCCATCGTGGGGACCTCAGATGCCAGCGCGGCCCGTGGAGCCAACGTGGGAGCCCTCAAAGGATGTCGTGAGGGGCCCTGGAACCAATAATGGGGCCCACAGAGGCCGTCGTGAGGGCTCTCAGAGTCAGATGCCGCCCAAAAAGTCGCTGTGTGGGCCGAGAGACCGGCATGGGGAGCACCCGACCGTACCGGACTCTCAATAGTCCCAGATCGGCTTTTGTCTCTCATCAAAAGTATGTAAATAAATGATTTGACGGGCTGCTTGAAGGACAGCCTACGGATTTAGGGGGGCGTCTTTCCCCATCAGGACAGGGGGCATCTTACCCCAAGGTACCGAAGTAACATTAAATCAGCACAATTTGTTAGCCATAAAACTACACCCTGAAACAAACTGTTTGGGACACAGTACACGCATGTTAATGTATCACGACTATAGCAAGGGACGCAAAAATTATCTACCTTCTTTGATATTTACAATGTTTTGGCGCCAAAATATTTTTTGAAAGCAGCAAATAAAAAACATGCAATCACCAGCCAGCCGTTGCCCAACTGAGCTTCGCAAATTTTTGTGCAGTTAACAAGGCAGGCTTCCGCTTTACGCTAAGAACATTAATTTCCAGGTTCGATTCTTTGTTTCCCCGCTAGAGGGGGTGGGGCGTCTTTCCCACCCTGGGCATCTTACCCCACTCTCCCCTACACATACGGCGGTGGCTGCGGCAGGCTGCCGCACTGCCCGACGGGTGACGTCCGTCGTCCACTGACGGCGCCTGCTATGATACTGTGCCGCAGCTCAGTTGTCCTTGCCTGGGTCAACCGGGTCCCGCGGGCATTCCATAATAAACTGGAACACTGAATTGTGGCGGTCCTGTATATACCTATGTGCGTTTTATTTTAAGCCACAGAGTGTTTTTATAGATGAATGAGTTAACTACACTTGTCAAGAATGTTGCGAGTTGCGACACGAACCGGAATTTCTGCACTGCAGAACTGGGAAGTTTAGAGGAGACCCTGTCAAACTTGTCTCCAACGTGTCCAGCTACCTTTTTCGTTGGTCAACATTTACAGCTGGCCTGTCCACATCGCAATTGTTTTACTACACCCGGACCCTAATGTGGCAAACAATGGACTGATCCGCAGCCCTCCACGGAAAGTCCATGGAGGAGCTTTTAATTTCTCCTAAAAAGGTAAAAGGTCATTCACTCAGAAAGGTGCTGTCGACTGCCAATCGCCGACTACGACTACAGCTGCATGCATTCAGTTCTTTACTTTCTATGATGCCAATTTGAAAATATACCTATGGATGATGTATTAAGTGCAATTAGACGGCACATGAAATATATATAATATATACGGCATTGAAGGGAGCATTCCGTAGTTTTATCGGACGATTTCAGTGACACTGGTGACTGGTGTTATTCAGCGAATCAACCACAATTATGGCGATCGATGGTGGGGATAACATGACGTGCATTCACGGCATAATAAAACTAAATAACACATGCGGTCTGTCCAAGGGAACAGCGGCGAAGAATGAACAAGGAAAGACATTACATAGGTCACAACAATACAATTTTCCGGCAACAGTCCCACACAAAGCACAAACATACTACGACGACAACGTCCCAGCACTACGGTTACAAACTGGGTATTGGTCACACATCACCAGAATCAAATACAAAAAGCGCAAAAAGGCTCAACGCTGCACAACCATTACGATTCTGATGATCTGGAGCAGAAATACAAAACGCGCGCCCTCGGTATTCACACAGTCAAATCGGATTTTTTCCGACAGTCCTTCAAAGTAATCAACACTTAACAGTCTTACGTAAAAGACATTTAACCAGCTCACCCTAGTGTGCCTTCTTTGGCTGCCTTCAAGCACCGACCACTCGCACCAAGGACAAATCCTTCGCCACACTTCTTACTCCTGGATACATCGGAAGAAAACGACGACCTGAACTTCTGATACAGCTCTCGCTTGCACCGTCCTCCATAGTCGAGCTTGGATCCCTTCGAACAGCGCACCACTGGCAGGTCAAAGATGGCGAACGGCTCCGTCTCCACACACTCGAGCTCTATTGTGTCGGGATTGACGTCCAGCCTGCCCAAGGCACACGGGCTGTCCGTCGCGTCCTGAAGTCGGTGGCAGCGCCGGGTCGCCGGCCACAGAACCGCTCCGTCACGGAAGCAGACGTTCTCTGTACAACGAACTCCCTCCTCTCCAACGGTGAGGTAGTCACCAGCGTTGCATGGACCCTTTCGGAAGGCAGGGTAGCAGCGGTCGTGAGCAGGCCAGTAGAGGTTCTTCACCGCACAATCGCACGAGGCATCACCATACTCGTTGATCAACACCACCATGCCTTCCGGACAGAGTGTAGCGTCGTCTCGTGGCACGCACTTTCCGTCGAAGAGTACCTCCTGTTCGGGACAGGGCAGCGGCTGACAGGAGGCCTCCAAGGTGTCGCGGTCCAGGATGAACCACTGGCCCTCCGGGCACTCTGTGCGCATCATCAGGAACTGGCAGCGGCCCGTGTCCTGATTAAGTGCCATAAAAGGCACTCCGTCGCACTCGGGAACGAACACGTCTCCGGCTTTGGGCTCCAGGGATGTCGGCTGATCCGGGAAAAAGATCTGGGAACTTTCTAGCTCCGGCTCGGGGACTGCACTGGGCGATGGTGGTGCTGATTCTGGAAATACTGACGAGGCTTTCGTCTCTTCGATCGCCGGAGTAAATCCAGCGCCCGCCGGAGTTTGCACTGGTTCTGAGACTGGTGTTGGCTCCTCGAAAGGCAAGTTCTGGAAGCTCACCGAAGGAATGTCAGCCGCTAATTCTGTCACTTCTGTGAGTCTCGCACCAGACCCGTCGACAGCATCGATCGTCAGATCGAGGGCCCTTTGCTGCGGGATGTCACCAAAGGTGATTCGTGGCGCGTTGAACCCGGCATTGGCCCTGCTGAAGCGTCCCGGAGAGGCGACATCAGCAAAGGGAGAAAACCTGGCAGCCTGGAACGGCACACCTCCGAACCGCCTGCTGAACGCCCACGGGCCTGCAGGAGACGCATCACAGACGACCAGCGCCAAGAGCAGAGTAACACCTCTCCGAGGAGACATCGGGCAGACACCAGTCCGGCCTCCGGCCATCGCAGCGCGGACCACCCTCACACACCCCGAACCGCTGCCAACCCGGCACTGCCGGCAGAGCACTGGTCGCCGCCGAGTCGCCAATGCCCGGTTTTAGTTTCTCGCCCGGCGGCGACTCGTCGCACCGCATTGTGACCACTGAGCGCGAGCGGTGACGTCACTAGCCGGTTTGAGATGGGGGATTCCGATGCCGGAGCTCTCTTCTCCTCTATTAACCCAACGGTCTGAAGGGTTGATATTTTAGTTATAAACTGTGCTAGCCTTTTAAGTGCTGAGGTATTTCGCCTCTAATCATCTGTTGTTTGGAGTGGGGGAGGGGTATAAAACGTCTATGACTACCAATACCCCGGTAGTTGAAAAATCGTCTGAATTTTCCTCAGGTAATTAGGCATCCCCCATGTCCCCCATGTCCAATTCCATGGCTGGACTGCAGAGGGATGACAACTGTCAACCTTGACGCTTTGTAGGAACTGTTTACCAATTTACTTGAAGTTTTTGACTGACTGTTATTGCGTAGGTATATCCATGAGCTGGCAGCAGTGGCGGATCCAGCTCAAAGTTTTGGGAGGGGCAAACCATAACAATTTATCGATTCTTTCCATGCCTCGTCCATAGGCGTAATGTTAAAATAATGCCGTTTGGGAGGGGCAAATGCCCATTTTGCCCCCCCCCCTGGATCCGCCACTGGCTGGCAGGTACATAACTCTTCAGCTGGGTACCTACCTTATTATAAGCGTCTTCTGCTTATATTGCCAGTGTATTTTCAGAATGCGTCCATAGGTAACCAGAACTCTAAACTAAATTGTCCCCTACATTATAATAGACGAGACTTTATATTGTCACCTCTGCGGTGAATGGGTCATTCACAAATCAGGTTCACCCATTTTCTAGTATCGTCACATAACTTCGCTGGTAGAGCACATTGTAATGGGAATAAAAAGTATTTGCCAGCATAAAATTGCCCCAAAGTTTTACCGCGGACGTTTGAACTGGCTGACTTCATTCAAAGGAAAAACTGTCCATCCATAGCCTCTTTCTCCTTTCGAGCTATGGACGTCGGAATATCCCAAGTTACAATGCCTACCTTTCGCAAATGGCGGCTGTGGGGTAGGTATACTAAGGGTATCGCAGAAAAATTACCTAAATTCAGCAACTTCTGCATTCACTTACCTGATATTGACCTAACTGCCTCACTCCACCGATCAAAAGTTTCACCACTTCACGTAATAACTAATGTACTTACCTGGAGCCAACCTTTGCACCTTTTTCAGGTGTAGGTACGTAATCTGTGAATAACTTTCTATGACTCAATTGACTTGGTAAATGGTAACGTTACCTGAAGATAAATGCAATAACCACTTATAAATATGCAGGAAATGATGCTGCTAAGGCATGAGCATGTTGGCAGTTATGGCGGAATTCGTGTGATGCGCACATTCTTAACAAGACATCCAAAATATCCCGAATGGAGCGTAATTTCACCCACAGCACGATATGGGCTGAGACGACATATACGGACGGGTGCCCACCGTTTTACTCAGACTATAGTTCTAAAGCGCCCGGTTCCTGGTAAGCTATCAAGGCCAGGTGTGTTCATCACTGCCCTAAAGAGCTTTACACAAGTGGCATTGCAACCAACTTGCAAGTCGCGACGGGATACATCAATCACACAGAGAGATCTCCTCAGAAACGCGGAAGACAAGGACAGACTGAATACTTACCATCAATGGCTTGACAAACCCGATTAGACAACATGTCTTGCAGCTATTGAATCGTCATAATTTACACAAAGTTTTAATTTAAAGTATTATAAATGTTCTTAGCTAAGATGCAAGGCAAACTTATCCAACGATATAATTGATTACCCAATGCACAAATACCTACTTGCTCACATTTGAAATTAAAGTTTCAAAACCGTGACAGTTTGTTTACCCAGTAGACATTTCAGATGAAAGCAAAATCCTCTCATTTTGGAAAAATGTCGAATGGATATTCCGAAATAGTAGCACACACGAACTATCTTTTCTACATATAAATGATTTCTTCTTAAAACTGCACGATACTGGAATTGAAAAATTGAAAAAAATGTTAATAAAAAGGAAAGTGGAAACAAATGCCTACCTTGGCTTAATTCGGAAGAGTAAAAACGCTTTAGTATTGACAGCCTTGGCCAGTCTCCGCACGGGTCAATAAGTTCGATCTCTCTCTCTCCGGGTCTCCAGAAGCCGGTCTGAAGTACCGGTTCGGACGGGAGCTCGCCTAAGCCCCCACGCCTCGCCGCCGCTATCTCTCTCACTGCTGGTTTGCGCATTAGCCCATGGGAGGCTAAATCGCTTGCAGCCAGGTACTGCACACGTGCAGTGGGTCACTTCGCACGTGCAGTAGTTCAGTCAGTGGTTGGTGTCACTGAACGGCTGCTGGTCACGCTGACTATTCATGGAGAGAGCGCTTGGGAAGTCCCGGAGACGAGACACGATCTTACCAGGGGTCACAACAAAGGGAGAGAGAGATAGAGAGATAGATAGAGAGAGAGAGAGAGAGAGAGAGAGAGAGAGAGAGAGAGAGAGAGAGAGAGAGAGAGAGAGAGAGAGAGAGCGAGAGAGAGAGAGAGAGAGAGAGGGGGGGGGGGAGACGGAGAGGGAGAAAGAGGAAGAGAGGTAGATAGGAAGGTTCTAGGACTTCTTCCGCAATAGTTTCCCAATTTATAACTAAATCCGGTAATCCGATTTTCGGAAAAGTACCGAAATACCCGGAACCCAGATTTTGGGACCGACTGATGTTATTCACCTATGTGGCAAAAATGCTAAGCCCTCGTTCCGCTAGTGTGCCGACCGTGGCTCAGACCGGTCCTTCTCTCTCGGACGCCGGTCGGGCCGGTCTAGCGCATGTGGCAAAATCCTGCGGTGATTCAAACTCTCAGAGGTTCTTTTTTGGTAAAACCTTTAATAGCTCAAAATAGAGCTTGTGCCACCTGGATGCAATAATACAAAAGTTTTCTATTTATGGCGTACCATACCTTAAATTGAGTCTATCATTAATATAAATACTTAATACTAAGTGCGTCGGCATATAAAAATGTTTTTACTTTTCAAAATGCAAACGTTTACCCATTGGTAAACTTTGAACTGATCTGACTTATGGAGCATTGCGAGTCTGGAGCGTCCTGACGTCATTATTTTCGAGTGGCCTTTGCCATAACATCCAAGCTATTCTCGATTTTGTCCCGCTAATAATGCCTACCACGCTGTGCGGCCTTCACGTGACAAAATCGCAAAGGAGGTGTATGACGTATTGGCGTGTTAACAGGTGATGTGTGAAGCTGAACTCCTCTTGTAATTGACGTCCCTTTGTAAACGAATGAACAGCGACGGGCCTCTGTTCTTTATCAAAACCTGATCTCGCATATCGCAGCCAACATTCAAGCACACAAATATCAGTATCGCTAACTTCATCTCAGATACAAGACTCAACGTCTTGCACTTCCTTACACATACCCCAAGTGTCTATCTATAGCCTTATACCGTGCATGGCATCAACATTGATTGTGCATAACCAGACATATGCAATAGACACGTATGCGCGCGAGTTTGCGGGGACACTTGCTCATATATAAGCGAAGTATCTTATCGGACCACGCGCACACATGAACGGACGAACGGTAACAAGTCGTACGGCTCAGTCATCTGCATCTGAATAAGCAGGCGTAAGCAGGCGTATCTCGCAAAATCAAAAACGGATTCACCGATATATCGCTACACTCAGCGTTCTTTTCCCTGACAAAGTGATGCGAAGAAGTGATTCGCCGGAAACTTGCCCCTGGTACGCAGGAAGAGGGCAGCGGCTGGGGTAGAGCGAAAGGTGTTTGAGAAGCTGGCGACCAGTCACTCGACTGGATGCATCACCATCAAAGAGATTGATTCTGGGTGCGCAACGACGAAAGCCGTAACAACCATTCATTTTCGCATGCGTTTCATAATCCTACTCACGACTCTCATTACGCCATAACCGTCAACATAACAAATACACGTTTACAGATACGCTGGCACGGACAGGACAACCGTTGTAAGCGTCATCTCGCATACACTCCACGGACATGTTTGCCAGGCACTTGCCCTTCACAGTGAAAAATAGCGTGCATAACCCGTGCCGGTCACATTAGTGAAAAGTAAGACGGATGAACAATTGTTTACAACGAGCTATATCTAAATCCACTTCCGATATAATCTGTGCTGTACAATTTTATCTCCGCAGAGATTCAGACTTCCGCTCACCATCACAACACAGCTGAACTTTCATCTCAGAAATCTAGGGCGGACATTGATGCTCGGAAAGGTTTCGTTGCAGAAGGATGCATTAAGCCAGCGAGCTTCACTCTGGTCAGATGAAGGAGAGAGAAACCTGCATGGTATGCTGAGCTGAAGCTTCACAGCTCATTGCATGCCTGCTTATTTCATATCGAGTTCAATCAAATAATGAAAGCCGATGACGTAATATTCATGAACATAAGTAACAAACGGAATATTCTTAATAAAAAAGTATAGTTTTAGCATGTGTCCGCAGTTTTCTAATTCAAGTAATAACACACACACAAATGATAATAATCACAAGTTCACTATGAGTTGCAAACTCGCAACAAATTTTAGGAAATTTCTCCATGCAGATGCATTCAGAGCAGGCGCTCAAAATGGTGCTCACATCATTATAAGCAGCATAAGTTGTTTGATTCTCTGTGTGCTCTCTGTGCTTAAAGGAGTGTGCGTCTCGGATAAGCCAAAGAGTGAGAAATATGCCCAAACTCTTACAAGATAACAATCCCCGAAGAGTAACTCCCGCGAGGAACGCTACTGCCGAGCAGCGCTCAGCTAAACCGAGCAGAGTAGCCCTTCATGGACTGGCAAGGGCAGCACAACAAGCCGATCGACCGGTTCGCGCGACTTTGATTCGAATGTTGGCCCCAGGAGCCCAGGTAGTGACACAGTTCAGCGCTCAGCATACGATAGGCTGTCGGTTCATTCACCGCTGCCCTTTAACTGCCGACTGCCGATCAGCCAACGGTGACCGCTGAACGTTGACCGACAGTTGCTGACCGCCGATCACTCGCCACAGACCATCGCCCACCGTCTGGCTCGACCGCAGTGCGTATCACAACCTGATGCTAATCTCCTTTAGGTCATCCAGACTGGCTGTCTCATCTGAGTTCTTCACGTAGTTTTGGGCACCACGTGTCATACGTGCTCCTGCACGTGCCGTCCATCTTTCACCATGTGTCTCTACTCCACTGCACTCACTGCTCACTGGCCCGGGCTCAATAGCCACTGCAGTTTGAGAGGCTACACCACACCGTTCAGCCGCAGTATCGCGCGCGCACACACACACACACGGCCGATGTTCTGTAATTCATAGCACGCCGCACGTGCACCTGAATCACGTATCCGGACTGGGGGACTGCTGGTCGGTGGACGATTCAGCATCGACGTCCTCTTTCTCTTGCTCTCCCTCTCCTGCTCCTCCCTCCTCTTCCTCGCTCCATCGCTCCTTGCTCGGTTGGCGGCTTTCGGTTGACTGCTCCGCTGAAAATAAGATATAAAAGTTAATAAGACATCGCAGATCCGATAAAGCCCTATTTGCAGGACTATACCATAGTTTTTCTTTCTTGTTTTGTGGCTAGTTCCTCCTCAGGAACACTCCTTGGTTGTGTGTAGTGTCATGTCATAGTTGACCTTGAAACTTGATCGCATTGCACAACAGCTGAACAAGGTAGTTTTATGGGACAGCTAGCGTAAGCCGGTGATCAGTAGTTTTCAGAATCCGCCTCTGGTTAGAAAGTACCATTATACCGAAATAGACATTGTTTACCCTTTTATTTTTTCTTTTATTCATTATTCTAATGTATGAATGGTTAGTCATAACAAAAATGCTATTGTGTATGTACTACCAGAAAACAGCTTCGTTTCCCTGTCAATACATCCTGCAATTATATAACTGTTTTTAAATCATATGTGAATGCAATATGGTTAAAGAAGAGAAGAAATGCATAATATATTTGACACTGACCGTTCCAAAACGATCTAACAAGTGGCATGGTCTGCAATATATTTGTGGCGTCACTAACATCTGATGATCACACACCAGTTCTATCATGGATAATACGTCATGATAGGTGCTTGAGCTAAATAAGGCCAGCTTTTACTGTGTTCCTCCTTCAACAGACCTCGAGATTGTTCGTTAACACTCTCTCCTCCAGCCACCCTGGAGTCACCAACATTTGCCGTGTTCTTTTCTCCAGCTCACTCGAGATTATACGCCAGACACTCCTACAGACACTCGGAGTGCCTCCAACACTCACCCCTTTCCCGTCTCCAGCACTGGAGGTAATACGTCAGACCACACCCTGGAGCGTCAGTAGCCCTTACCCTGTTCTCGTCTCCTCCAGCGCTCAAGGTTGTACACGCCAGGCACTCCTCCAGACACTCGAGAGTGTCACCAATACTCACCCTGTTCTTTCCTCCTCCAGCACTCAAGGTTGAACGCCAGACATTCCTCCCACGGCCGACACGACCAGGGCAGCGGAGGTCGGGCTGGGCGAACGTCACCTGACCAATGCAAACACGACAGTGAGAGCACGTCTCCCGGGCTCAGTGGCAAGTCAGAAAGGTCAGAAAGGTTATGGAGTTTGAGAGTCATGACTGCCTTCGGCCTTCTTGCAACGACTGCGAGACATGTCTTGCGACAGACTAGCTCAACAGTGGGTTTTCCAATCAAGTAACACGAAAGCACTCGACAATAACAACAGCGAATAAAAAGTCCGATAAAACTATCGTTGGAAATGCCACAAACCGAATGTCATGCATCTGATAAAGCTTCGAACATTACACATCTAGTGCACACTAGTTTGTTCATAAAAAAGAGGGACAGGCGACGGTGACATTCACCTTCATTGTGGCATTGTTCGCTTAAAATGTTGCTGCGCATTGATGTCAAAACATCCCATGAAGCACTGCCACTTTAATGGCGCTCGATAAAATTAGGCAAATATTAGGGCTAGCTCAGGGCGTTTAGCAGAAATAACTCAGTCTCTGTCCCATCTGAGCTATCACGTTTGTACCTCTCTCGGCCTACTGACCCGGCTTGTAGTCGATTCCGTTGGCGGCGCCACCGGTCTCTGCACCGTGCAGGTAGGCGGCCACCTTCTCCAGAAGCTCACCGCACACACTCATCGACGGCTCCACGATGAACTCGATAAAACCTGCGGGCAGACGGCACCCCATAGTCAGTCAGCGGCGCCGGCTCAGTGTGCTCCAGGACTTCTGTCACAAAGTGTTATGTCTAGTGTTATCAAGCCATTGTCTCACCTGTTTAATTACTTATTTATGAAGTCAGATTTTATCTTCGAATTAGGAGACACCCATTTAAATGCCACGCATAACATACCATGTTAAACGTCACAGGCAATATTTTGATAAAACTACCATAATGCTGTAGGCAGGCATCGGTAGGATTGTGATTGCAGGATTGCAAAATCCTGATTGCATTCCTTTTTGGTGGATTGCACCTGGATTTGAAATCCATTCCAAAAAACAGGATTTGATTGCGGATTGGATTGCATCATGCTTCCAATTTTTGCAATCAAATCCGGATTGCAATCCTTTCCTGGGGCAATTAGTCATGTCTGATATTTTCCCGACCTTAATAGGCCTAGAATGATGTGCATCCGCTAAGTTGTGCAATGTGCATCGACGGAACTAACTAGAATACTGTCGGTTGCCATAGACACAAATTATCCCAGTCTCAAGGCAAAGTTGGCGCAGCGCTGCTTGCATGACAACACGGGGCCGGGCGAGAGGCGAGAACTAACTACGCCACGTTAAATGGTGGATCCAGAGAGAGAGAGAGAGAGGGGGGGGACATAGAGAAAAGTGAAGAAGGTGCGTACCTATTTGCCCATATTTCCATACACTATGGAACATGTCGACTGTCGAGGTGAGAATAGGTAAGCCCCTGGTTTAAGAAAACAAGAACGCCATTTAATGACGTACCTACACGGAGCGCTTTCAGGTTTACGCTTTAAAAATATAAAACACTGGTTGGGTAGAGGTTTAAATGTGGGGGTGTTTGAGGCAAAAAATATCTCCCATAAAATACCTGTGCCTTAGATAGGAATTACTCGCAAGACTAGGTACCTGCTAGAAATGGGTGATTTGGGGATGGAGGCACGGCCCTGTGCCCCCTCCATCCCCCAGATCCACTAGTGCACATAATAATACAACAGGATTGCAAAAAGGATTGCGGATTTGATCACAATCCAAGTGAAAAAAGGGGATTGCGGGTAGGACTGCAATCCACTTCGGTACTAGGAATGTGGATTGGGAATGCAATCCTTTCAGAGAGGATTTTACCGATGCCTGGCTGTAGGTAATAAGACTACCATAAACGCAAACTATTGACCAACCTAGGATAGTCACACAAACACAGCACACACATAATGGCGCCCGTCCCTCTGCGCCGGCTGCCCATCTGGGCTGGCAGGTGAGTTCGCAGCCGGCTCACTGCAGCCTCCGTCCGCTGGCCTACCCCGTCCAATATCCCCAGCTAGCAGAGCTCTGTTTGTCGTCGACGTTTGCCGAGCCCTTCAGAGAGCAGAGCCCGGCACCGGCACCGCCGGGGACGGGTCCTCTCGGCGCAGGTGATAAAGGCGCCATTCGTCGGACTTCAGACGCTTCAGATAAATTGGTCCTTATGTGTTTCGAAAACGCATATCAAATTATGGGGCACTGGTCCAGTGCACTGCTCTAGCGATTTCAGCTAATATGAAAACAAATAAAAACTATCATTTTAAAAACCATTTATACATGTCAAGAAGAGAGCACACAAAATGCGTTCGTTCAAATATTGCGCAGTGCCCGGGCAGCACACTTCGCTCATAACTCAAACTTTGGAACTCTAAATGCAACAATATTGGCCGTAGCTGGATTGTAGTCTTCATTTTCCAGCCAATAAGAGTCGTGATTTATGCATGCACATAAATATATTGCGACAGAGCAGTCTTTGTTGGCAACTGCCTCACGGGCACCTAAGCCAGCGTAATGTGAAATAATGTCATCGACAAAGCAGTTTTAAAACGAATTAAATCTTACAAAGGAGTAGATAGATAGATGTTGATCCACGTCTGCTGATGACTAAGATCACGCAACATTTCATCAACATCATTCCGTTCATTAAATGTGGTTCTTGTTACTTGCTTTCCTTCCAATGATGCCAAGTCCCAGGCCAGAGCTATGTCAGCACAACACCGCTATACGGGTTCATTTCGCTGCTAAAGCGAGTGTTTTCAAGAGTAACTAAATGAGGAACATCAAAACGAACTGAGATTAAAATCAGGCCGTAGCTGGCTATTAAAACTGACTGGAGTTTTTTTTTTTGTTGTTGTTGAGCAGCAGTATCCCGTGCTGGTTTAGCCGATGATGATGTCCCGTTTGCAACAAGCGCAATGATTAGTTGGTTCATCCTAAGAAATGTCAGCTGTCCTCTCTCTCTCTCTCTCTCTCTCTCTCTCTCTCTCTCTCTCTCTCTCTCTCTCTCTCTCTCTCTCTCTCTCTCTCTCTCTCGCTCTCTCTCTCGCTCTCGCTCTCGCTCTCGCTCTCGCTCTCGCCCTCTCTCTCTTTCTCCTCTCTATCTCTCTCTATCTCTTCCTCTCTTCCTCCCTCTTTTCTCTTTCTTTTTCCTCCGTCCCACTCCACGTTGCGTGACCGGTATCATCACTCTTATTCAGACGTCAGATTTACAATATTCCCTGACAAACTTCAGAATTTTCAAAGGCCCAGGCAGTGAGATAACTGCCATCGATGGTCATTGGTCAACCAGTTTGACAGGTCGTGCTAGACACAGGACTCATCTGTTTTACTTAGAACACACCTTCCTTTGATCACCGGGATTGGATATGCCGGCTACTCTGAAGGCAGGTGCTGCGGATTTTCTGTCAGTTGCAATAGACCACTCCTTTAATCTGGATGAAAGTAAATAGCCTGTCGAGCTCCATAAGTCGATCGCCCGTATTTTTTAATGATAAATTTCTACCTCGGGATATTTCAGGACCACATTCAACAAAGTGTACCATTAAACCAAGGGAGTAGAAAACTACAATGTTATCAAAATCGCCTAAGGACAGCTTCATTGTTTTAATTGCCGACGATGCATATGACGCATAGCACATTTGGTTTTATCATTTTAACGGGCCGTCTAGTGAATATCAGAGCAATCAATCAAACTTACCGTGATGCCAGGGCGCAGAACAATAACAAATATAGTGCTGTTGGAAACTCGGTGCGAGCCTCGCTAATTCTCCCCGCCTCCTCACCTATCTGAGACTGAGGGACGAGCGTGGTGGCTCTGTCGCAGAGAGGACTGACTGGCAGTCCCAGCTGCTTCTCCTTGTCTCCCTGCAAGAAGAACTCGTCCAGCAGAAGCTTGGTCCAGTGCGAGTGCAGCTCCCAGTCCTTGCTGGGGTGTGATATGTCGCAGCAGTGCAGCACCAGGTTCAGAATCTTAGACTTGTCCACACTATGACAAATATAGACAGAGATCGTTAACATATATGCATGCTGTAAAATGCAAAAAAAAACTACGAAGAATAATGTGAAGAGAGCTCTCATGGGTGCGGATGGGTGACTATAAAATATACAAAAACCCGTTACTGAGTGGTCAGTCGTGACAGATGAATATCACACATACCAATTCTTACATTTTTGAACCGAACATGTCGAGACAACGCTGTTCCCGTAAACCTTTTTAACATGACACTTTCAGCAAGTGTTTTTCCTTGATCCGTTAGGTATGCTTCATGCTTCTACCAGAAAGAACAAGATGTAATAGAGAAATAAAGAAAGAGAAAGGGTAAGAGAGCGAGAGGTAGAGACTAGAGGCATAGAATGACTAATTAAGATAAATAATGGATGAAGGAAAAATGGAAAACGCGAGGTGTCAAGAACTAATTAAAAGTGAAGAACAACTCGGCAAAGAAGGCCGATACGACATTCAGATGATGAATTCCCTGTCATCTTAAGAGAGAAAAATAAGTCAAGCTGCAGCTTAATTGAGTTATGAGACGGAGTGAAAAGTGCCTTACTGTTTACGGAAGCAGATTAAGAGAACTCAGACAAAAAAGGGAGCTTGAGGTGACAAGGTCCAGAAAACCACCAGAAAAAGGAAAATAGGGGTGAAATCAATATGGATGGCTGCTTTCAGCAGTTCGTCACTTATCGAAAAGAGGAAAATCGAAAATAAAAGTACGGTACTGTTGGAGCATGGATAGGCGTTAAACGGTTGTCAGGAGACGGTTCTTGTGCGTGCTTTCGCATCACATAGAAAACTGAAATGAAGTAAATCTAGTATGAACGTGTACGCGCAAAAGAGCTAAAGGTCCATACTCTATACCTTTGCCTAATGCCCACGTTTACCAGACAAAAGTTTATGACACAAACTGGCATAAGAATCCGATGTACAGGTCTCGCGGGTTTTAGCGGTAGGTTTTGCACCTAGAAAATTTAGTGTACTTCAGGCTATATCTTCGTCGTCTTAAGCTTTTAAGTGTTGAAGATGCGATCGACTTGTTGGGTAACAAGCCGGCCATGATCGTGTAAAATGGATTCATCGTAGATCGATTAGTTTCTGAGATATAACCGGAAATGTAAAAGTGCAAAACCTACCGCTTAATCTCGCGAGACCTGTACTTCTCACTTTCAGTTTTTTTTCCTGAGAAAATAACAAACCAGGCATCAATACCGATGTTTTTAGCAGAGCAACACCGTAAATATCGGTGTTTACACTTTCCGATGGCCTAACGGCTATCTTTTATCATCAAAACTCAACGGGAATTACTAAGTTCCTGGTAAAGAAACCCAAGGGTATTCTATTTACTATGGAGCCTCTTTTATCATCGCTTTAAGAGTTATTGCCACTCTGCACTTACCTACTCAGAGAATGAATTACCCCTTTTCCTACTTGCCATAGGGTTGTAGATGTAGACAGATGAAACTGGGAAATTTTGCGGTCATTTCGCCAAGATAATTCTGCTATTTTGCAAATTTAGTAAACAAATTACGGTAAAATTTGAATATATAATTACCCAAATGACCGACATGAATGTTATCCAGCACATGAGGGAGACGTAAATATGATACACATAGCACCAGATAGGACGACCTCCAAGCACCAAGGCTCCTTCCACGGACCGGCCGCAGCGACGCGATCAAGCGCTCCCGGCGGGGAGGAAGGACTCTGCCACCTCCACTCATCGCACATCGATCGGCTGGCACCGACAGGCACCACAATCAAGTGGGCTTGACAGGGCACTTAGGCCGGAATTGGACAGCTGACTGCGTGCGGTCGTTCATCAAAGAACTGGACAGGAGCGCGGGCGCAAAACCGCAGCCAGAGGACAGCTCGCTCGAGCGACTCTGCGGTTCTGACGGCCGCCAGGTGATCGAAGAACCCCGAGTGAGATCGGCTAAGAGTTGGGATGGACTGCAGGTTCCACGACAGAAACTGGTGCAAAAGACTGGTGCTAAAAAGGCATGCTTGGCAGAAACCCTAGCCGGACGACTGGCGCCAGGAGGAGTCATTTTTAGAGCGCTAGAATAAGGTCGGAGGGGAGGAAATTGAACTGCATGTAAAATGATGACTCACTCACATAATTTGACTTCTTAAAGCCGTGCGTCAAGTCGGAGAAATTCGATAAGTAAAGACAGTCCTTAAAAACGTTTAAAAACGAAGTTGAAGAAGATGACGGCATTGGCTATCGAGCGTCCACTTTCACACACATTTAGCGTGAAATCCACACCGGTATAAATGCCTAGCGATATGCTATTTATCTGTTCACTTAGCCGTGAGTGCATAAAGTCAAACGGGTGGTTTATGAATTATGAAGGTATGAGTGCTGAGAATTCATTGCGGCAAAATGCTAAAAAAGGAGCCCTATAAAACGAAACCCACAATAGGATCGACCTTCAAGCAGAATGTCTGAGTTTGTTTGTCCTAAACAACGTGGGAAAAGTAGTCACGCGCTCAAATTAGACGATGATTGAAGTCGCTGGGCGAGATCGCCAATGATAAGCTAATGAATAAGACTCACGCCGATTCTGAGTTGATGACGTAGTTTTTCATGCACTTGATCTGTTGAAAGTGTGACGACATGTCGGTGGCGAGAACCATGTCGACAACGAGCGAGCGCAGCTCTGTGTACTCCTCGCGGCTCAGGTTACACAAAAAGTTGCACTCCTCCTCCCGGAGTATCCTGCAAACGGAGGAGCGTATCGTGAAAACACGCGCACATACAATACACATAAAACGAGTGTTACTCTCATGTTACACAAAAAATTACACTCCTCCTCCCGAGTACCCTACAGTGGGATATGCGCTTCGTGAAAATAAAAATAAACAAAATATGCACAAGTCGAGTGTTTACAGAAAGGTACACTCCGCCTCCCGAAGTTCCTGCAACCGGAAAACGCACCGTAAAAACGAGCACACAATACACACAAATCGATTGATCCACTCACGTCACACGAAAGTCACACTTCATCCGGTAACCCATCCTGCGAACAAACACCCCTCACTAAGGAGTAAGGACGCATCAAATTTACACTCCTCCCGCTAAGTCCCTGCATTCCGTTAAAATGGGTTCAGATTGAGCTGCAACATTAATAAGAAGCTGTCGTCATCCCGTAATCCTCCAAAGCAAACAAGGAAAAACAGCAAATAGATGCATTCACTCTTCCGCTCATATGTGCGCTACATACTACAACTAGGGAAAGCACATACAATGAGTGGAATGAAATATATATATATATATATATATATATATATATATATATATATATATATATATATATATATATATATATATATATATATATATATATATATATATATATATATATATATATATATATATATATATATATATATATATATATGTTGCAGGCACTTTAGAAAATCAGTCCTTTTGTAAAATGCCTAGGCATTTTGCAAAATGCCTGATTTTCCAGGCTTTTTGCAAAAAGCCTAGGCATTTTACAAAATGACTGACTCTCCAGTCATTTTGCAAAATGCCTAGGCATTTTACAAAATACCTAGCCATTTTACAAAATGACTGAGCAGCGTTTGTAGATACGAGTACCTAATTATATACGTTTTGGTAGCGTGTAGGTGGACTGAGGAGTCCAGCATTATGACCAGAGGAGTCCAGCAGTGGGAAGTCCATACCTACCTCTATTTTGAGAAGTGCAGGCCCGCGACATTTCCAACCCCGACGTCAGCGACGCTGCTGGATTTAAAATGATCGATCTGGAGCGTCAACAAACGACTGGCCCTATGCCGGCCTGTATCTGTAAGACTATTAGAGGTCGCGAGGATTCGATCCCACACACTTAGGCGTTAGTGTCTTCTGAAACCAACGCGCTCGTCCTACGCCAAGCGACCTGATGATTCTCCCGATGTGGAGCTTGATATTTTTAACTGGGACCATGCAAGTAGGTACTCAAAGCTGTTGCCACAGAACAAAATTAATCGTGTTTTGTTAATTATTGCTTTAATATTCATTGTGATCAGAGAGCTTTTTTATTCAAAAAAAAAAGTTAGGAAGAAAACCTAAACAATAATACTGTAAACAATTGCGTGGACTAGGCCTAGGGTAGACTTGTTGAAGTTCCTTAGAGCCAATGAGCGCTGTCCAGTCAACTGAGGAGGGGAGGAGTGGTCCACACTGGGCTTCTTTGTTGATCCGTGGGCTGTGAGTGAGCGTCCGTGCCTGTCACGAGTGCCTCGTGGACCGTTATGTCGCGTCCAGAATTCGACCGCAAGGTGGCGGAGATCATAGACTCAAGTGCTGGCAAAAACCATCAATTCATAACGAACCAGGAACGGACAGAAATAGTAGATTTTTTATCAACCTACAGTCAGTCAGTCTAGTTTCAGGCAGAATATGAACGGCGTTGATGTACTTGGGAGTTTTTACAGCGTTAACTAAACAATGTTTTATGCTACAGCCGAGTCTGCAACTCAACCTGGTCGTTACACAGCATTGTCGTCATCACAGAGCTTCAGATCGATCAGCTACAGGCTGAACACGTACCTATAGGGTATAGGAAGACGTCCAAAAACTGTTGGCCATAGTATCTGTAGTGGGATCTACGTTCCATGCTGGTCAGGCATTTTGCAAAATGCCTAGTCATTTTGTAAAATGGCTAGCGATTTTGAAAAAAGCCTGGTTGCGTTCAGTCATTTTTCAAACAGCCGTCTTTTTGTAAAATGCCTAGGCATTTTACAAAATGACTGATTTTCTAAAGTGCCTGCAACACATATATATATATATATATATATATATATATATATATATATATATATATATATATATATATATATATATATATATATATATATATATATATATATATATATATAAATATTATAGGTATCTGCTCCACTCAAGCTGAGAGGTGGGGCAAACATGTGCGGCATCAACCACTGGCGAGTCTCGTCAGACGTCAACAAATCTCTCAGAAAAATATGGAACAAAATGAAAAATATCCAACCTAATAAGTAATTGAGTGCCGCCTCGTGTTGCGCGTTCCTAGTGCCGGCGGCGGGCGGCCCCGGGCGACCCCACTAAACCCCGGCACCTGCGGCTCGCCGGCGCACGCCCGATTACACCGGCCGGCTGGCAATCGAAAAACTTGGCGAGCGAGCCGTCCGCCCGGGGCTCTGCAAACACCCGCGCCGCGGACTGGGACGGTGCGACGGCCGGTGGCCGGGCTCACCCAATATCGGCCGAGACTGAGCGCCGCCGCCGGCCACCGGACCGGCAGCGGCACAGGGAGCTGGCGGTCACAGTTCAGTACTGGGTACAGGGTCAAGGTGTCCAGCACAGCCCACGTATCCGACACAGGTGCAGGAGAGTTGGACGGATCGGGATGACCATGGAACTGGGAGGCAGCACCGGCTGCTAAAACAACATGCCGTCCTTCCAGGGACACAGGTTATAGTGTACAATATATCAAGATATATCTTGATTGTATCGATCGAGGTAGTGACTAGTGGCACAATTAAATTCATATCTACTAAACTAAATCCAGTAGGTACCCGTTACAGAACCGCAATGTGGAAATAATTGGAATTAAATGTTACCATACTGAGCGATGAACTATGTGCAGTTGCAGGATGAATTTTGGGCACGGTCGGCTCATGCCCGTAAAATCATATGTATTAGATTAGAAGTAACTCATCCTGGGTCAATTTATGAACGGTCAAGTTAAGGACTCTAAGTGCAGTTATCACAGAACACAGCGCTCCCTCTGCGCACGATATAATATACACATGATTTACCAAATTATTAACTGTGCACTTACGTTCTTTCAAATATCTAGTTTCAAAATAAATTTGGGTTGGGAATGTGTCAGCTGCCCTGGTAAGCTTCTACTAGGTTAATCGTTATTCTTGCAGTTTGCATAATAACTTTAAGTAAAACGGATCCCATGTGCATTTAAAAACTGGACGTTTATAGACTCAAATGAAAACTTCGTCATAAATATTCACAATTCACAGAGGATATGCAAAGAACCGTAGCGTAAGAAATACGCATATATCCAGAGAGGCCTAAGATTATTCATCATTCCTCTCGAAATCCCAATATCTTCTCAGATGATATTTGAAATGCTACGGCTGACGAAAATTGACTTCGAAATATTTCATCGCCAAAGTACCTGTCGGATTCACTCCGACTTTGAGCGGCTTTGCAGCGCGCGGGAGATCGATCTATCAACTGTATGACGATCGACACTAACCCACTAAATCACTGCCAACTGGTGTAACTCGCTTAAGTAGCAGTCTGAGCGACTCAGCCGGCGTCAGCTGCTGCGCCAGCTGCCGCTCCGTGACGTCAGCAGCTGTCGCGTCACCCGTCACAGCACACATCACGTGTCATATCAGACGTCACATATTCTCCGCGCCCGGCAATCACAGCCGGATATGAGGTTGGATTGAGTCTGACTGCCAATCCAGCCGAGCCGGGCGTTAGCACGGGAGTCGCCGGCGACACAACAAAACACAGCCGGGTTCAGACGGGGTGGCATTCAGGGGAGAGCTGTCGGTGGCGCCAAATGCACACGGAGACACGGTCACAAATGTGGACGAGAAAAATGTCAACATTTTTCCTGCCCTAGCATCCAGCAAGGCGTTGTTGGTTAGATGGGATATGGCCGTCACTAAAATGTCAGCTACTCCGTCTAATCTCAAATTCGACCAACCCCTATGCAATACAAGCTAAACAACTGCACTCGAGCAATCAGTCCACATAATATGCCTGCATCCATCATCCTCATTTTGCCCATAGGGATAACTACATAACAGCCGACAGTATTGAAGTCCATTTTACATGCACCGTGTCCCTGCGTTTCCTGTCCCCCATCTGTCTCCCCACGCACCTGAAGGCGTTACTGACGTGGAAGTTTTCCAGCACACTCTTGTCGTTGTAGATGAGCGCCGTCTCGGAGCTGGAGTTGACGTGGAAGTTGTTGGTGGTACCCGTGTGCTCCACGTCGTGCACGATGGCCGCCAACAGCATTGCCAGCACCTCCAGGTCCGTCAGAAAACGCTGCCAAAAACAAAATATAGAATTCTTTTAGCTGTGATCGTCCATACATTTTTATAAAACGCCTGGGTAGTGGCAGAGACGGATGAAAAGATGGGACAAAACTAAATGCACTTTTTACTTTCTATTTGACTTTACTTTACGGCATTTTTTTATACAGCTTGCATTATGTAGTTTGTATTATTGATTATTTTTCTGGGAGGTTTTCTCGTCCTCCATATGACTACATATTGTTTTCGATCATACGTTAACCACATTTTCAGAACCAGTTTTGTCAAGTGTCCAGCAAAAAAACAAAAAACAAAACAAAAACTAATAACATGTTGACCCTTTCGTAAAGCACAATTTGCGGGCGAGTCTCAGACCTATCTAACTTCTAATGCCGTTATCACTCACATCGTATCGACCAAGTAATCGACAACATTTTGAAATGACAAGGAGATAAACTGTACAAAATTTGTGGCATTTTGTCACAGTGTCTTCAACATGACATGGTGGGTTGAAAAGAACCAAGCACGCTAACATTGATAGAGCCTATGATCTTCCGGTCATTCAGGGAGAACACACAGATACTTTCGCCAAAAGATGACGGTGATCAAACCTAAATACTGCCTAACGATTCGCCAATAGCCCACTATCAAATGCCGATGCATGCCTGTCTGGCGCCCACACAAGCGGTCATCCATCACGCTCTAATGAGATGAATCGGCACTAGTTTCTGCGCTGCGCACGACCATGCTCCGATGGCGGCGATGGGTTCGGTCGACCTTCCGGCACAGGACATGATGTAACCTCCGCGGCGGCAGAATCGATTATCCGCGACCGACAGATGTTCGAAGAATATCAATGACCTCTGTCGGATGCTGGTGACAATATCCATATCCGAAGCTAGTTGGGTCAAGCAGCATTGTTCTGCAGAAATGTGATACACCAGGGTGGGAAATAATCGTGTAGATATCGGTGTATGATAGGGAACCCCAAATAAATAAATAGACTAGCAATTAAAAGATAAGAATTGTGGACACTGCACATAAGTTTTCAACAAAAATTTTGATGTTCTACTGATAGGTTTTCAAAAACATTTAGAATTTTGTTTGTTTTGTTGGGTTAGGCCCTCTCGGTCCAATGGGACCATTTCAGAGCCGGGAGGATGATAGGATGTAGGGGGAGACATTGGTCTGGGCAGGCACCCTAGTGAGTCACCGGGGCTGAGCCCGTCCAGAGGACAGGCCACCCAGCCCCGAGGCACTCACTGCACCGGTTACGGGGTGCGCTCCCTCAGGAGCAGCGGTGCCGCTCCAAGGGAGCAGCCCGCATGAGATAAAGTTGCCTGTCCAGCCCGGAGGGGGGTTGCGGCGTGGAGGAGAAGGATTTCAGCATCCTGAGGATAGAAGCACGGAACGGTGACATTTTGAATAGCGATAATGTAAATAAGAAATAAATGTTGATACTCGCCGGATCTAGTTAAAAGGATTCATGAATCAGATAAAATAACAACAGCAAAATAGGTATTCGGCTAGTCAGTGCCAAACATCAACTCGACATTTTTTCTTTGCTGGGCATCACATTGTTATATATTACCCATGAGTTGGCACACATTTTATCAGCATCTACGCATGAAAGATGCCAACCAGTAAGTCTCATAGCGTCACCAGCGCTCCCTGCCCCAGTAACTCTGCACTCACCACTAGCGCCATCTGTGACATAATATAGTGGACGGTCTGCGTGACGTCGGCGGCGTGTGAGCTGTTGTGGTACGGGTTCTTGTACCGGCCGTAGCCGTGCTCCACCGTCTGGAGGTAGGTGTCCAGCTTGGCCGGCTGGATCTGTCCGCAGAGGTATCATCAGGTCAGGTCAGATGCAGAGCGTGACAGAGCGTGACAAAGTCGAGCGTGATTCGGAAATTAATGACAGAAATGGACTAGACTCTGCCTAACGATTTTCGTTTCGTCTAAGCACTATACCTACGCCACCACGCAGCTAGGAAGTAAACTGATAATGTCTCTTCCAGGATTCTTGCATTTATAAAAAGCAGAACCTCTATCATGACGGTATTCACCTAGGAGATAAGCCCAGCGTCATCTCCCACTTCCCAAATATTTCATCCGTCTCTTACATAGAGTGCCAGTCAGCGGCGCTTTCCGGGCCGCTCTGTATAAACTGACGCCGCCTGTTTTGACGGTACGGTACTGGAATGGGAACCTGGCGCGGGAGCTCCGGTAGCGCGGACGACGCCAACGAATAATCGACACCGAGCCTTCAGCCGGCAGCAGCACAACACCCGCTCGAGAATCCATTTAAATACGGACCTCTCTTATCAGGCTCGTTTAAAAAAATGGAGAGCAGTCACAATGAAGGAAGGTAAGAGGTCAAAGAATACAAGAAACGACAGTTCATTTTTAGTGAAAGAAAAGGCAATATATGTTTAACTATAAGTTCTCAAGGAAAAGATAATGAGCGTTCAAAGACATATGGATTTTGCTGGAAGGAAATGACGAATCTTCAACTAAAAGGAGTCTCCAATGTAAAGAATCTCCCATTCGTTTAAAACTCAGCGGCTATGTAGTAGGCTAGTATCCTAAGGACAAGCTTATTGACCGCGTCCAAGACCAGCTTATCTGACGACATTAAGCGAGGAAAAAGTTTGCATAGTTACATAATTATTGCAATCACGCATTAATAGGACCTGTCGCAGTTTCTTAAGTAATAGTTGACTGAATTATATCCATTTTTATCTTTCAATAGGCACTCCTTCAAGACCCGAGGAAATAACGACTCCCCGAAGAGAAAAAGAAGAAGAAGAAAAAAAAAGAAAAAGAAAAAGAAAAAGAAAAAGAAAAAGAAGAAGAAGAAGAAGAAGAAGGAAGAGAGCGAGAGAGAGAGAGAGAGAGAGAGAGAGAGAGAGAGAGAGAGAGAGAGAGAGAGAGAGAGAGAGAGAGAGAGAGAGAGAGAGAGAGAGAGAGAGAGAGAGAGAGAGAGAGACCCTATTGGAGCCAGTATATTGTCGGTGAATAAATCGTTGGACAATGTGTATCTACTTTACCAGACTTAAATGTCGCTGGTCGGTAAAGTAGCGATTGCTTCATAAAATATGCATATACACTTTGAACAAAATGAGCCTGACTGTGGCTAGTTCCACTTTCAATATATTCCCGGTACCACCATCAGACCTCATTGGACCATGGTGTGCTATTGAAATGTCAACATTCGTGGCACGAGGTGCGTAATTCGAAACAAATTCAAATATAGAAAATCACACACGAAATAACGTCATTGACGCACTGAAAATAAGCCTCAGTCAGCTATGCGTGCAACATATTGAATGCACAGAAATCAGAATCGAAATGCATGATCTAAGTCGAGGCAAAGGCAAAGAAATACGTTGTCCAGTTAAGATGCGTATTGAGACAAACGTCATATACATTTACAGAGTCCAGTCTAAGGTAAAAAAGAGACGTACCACGTAAGAACCACGGTAGGAACCAATGTATGCGACATCCTACTCGACCATATCCATCTCTAATCGGCGTTAGCAACTATAGTCCATGGCACACCTAAGAAATAACGGAGTTAAACCGCCTGAATCACTTTGCACGTGTTTTGATCAATTGAAATCACGAACGTATAAATAAACGGATTTCCCGCTATTCGCGAAAAACCTCAGGGGGGCGGGATAATCGACCCCACCCGTCGGTGGGCAGGCTAAATATATTCTTTCGTAGAAGGATTACGACTTTCATCCAAGATAAGTTTATGGTGATTCATAAATGCTTTCCTGTGACCTGTGTCATTCACACCTCTTTTTCCTACAAGTCACAATGACAATACAAATGCAGCAAAACTAAAAACCAGACGTTTTGAAAAGGTAGAATGTTACTACGGGAAAAAGGTTTGAGCGTCGAGGCGGGATTGAAGCCTCTAGCCAAACCCAATTTCACTGTTCCGTAGCTCGGACACCGCAAGGGAGCGAGATCAATTTCGCTGGTAATTCGCGCTGTAACATAGTTTGCGATTCTATCAGCTCTTGAATGAGATTTCTCGGCTTCGGAGTAATCAGGACAGCCTTCAACTTCCCCGCACCGAAGCATTAAACGTAGACGAACGTGAAAAGTCGTCGGCCAGGCTAAGTGAAAATAGCAGTTTCCAAACCACAGCCGGGCAATGAAAGAGTGGCTGGTGGCGAGTTCAGAGTACAATATCTTCAATATTAACATTCAGCATTTAACCCGCGCCCGGCTGGGGGTCCTGGATTTCCACGCCCTGCTGGGGGGGGGGGGGGTGTTTGAACACCCCCCCTTCTAACTCGGCTCCTGGGCCACGTAGCGACACGCGGAAGGCGGCGTTCGAAAGAGCGTAAAAAATAATGACGAAATCACTTCGGTCAATTTTTTGGTCAGGTCAAAGGTCAGGTCACCAGAGGTCATTGAAGGCAAAATTTCGCCGATTTCAAGGTCGAATGTCGACAATTTCCAAGAAGCCAACGCATAACTCGGGAACCAATAGAGCTACAGCGCCGCGGAAAAGCGCATTCGATAGCCCTATTAACGCCCTTTCTGAGTAATTTTCTCAGATTTGACCTAACGTCAACGGTTTTGCCTGCAGGGGGCAAAAACTGCAAAAATAGCCGATTTTTTCGGAAACAGTTTTTCTGCAATAACTTTTGACTCAAGCCTTGTACGAGCTTACTTTTACCGGCATCGTGTTCCTCTCGTCAAGACGCATCGAATGAACTATAACTTGACCTTGAAAGGTCAACTTGAAAATTTGACCTCAGGTCAAGGTCATGACCTGACCGGAAAGGGTCATGTTGCATATCAGTCGATCCGTATCGTCGAGCTCAACACATCTAAGGCGTTTTCATCGCTCTAGCATGCCTCTATCAAAAGTTATTTGCGAAAAACTGTTAGATACTATTCGTGACCTAAGATGACCTCAGGGCATAAACAGGGGTCACGGACACCATTTTCATGTTCAGTGTGTCTAAACCACTTGTAATTCAGTGTTTGGGAGTGTTTATAATGTCTTTCGTCCAAAAGAGGCGCATTTCAATTTTCTCCCATTGACTTATAATGGGGAGGTCGCAAAATTGACCTGACCTTAGGTCATCGATATCAAAATTCTGAGATATACATTTTGTACATGCTATTGCTCTTAGCAATCGCTGAAAGTTTCAAAGCGATCGGTCACTCGGTGTAGCTATGACAGACATTGAAACTTTTTATGAGGTGAGGTCACTTCAAGTGACCTGGTGACCTGACCTTGAATGATCTTGGTCTGAAATTTTCACAACATGTGTAGAATTGATGTATGATAAGGTATACCAAAAACGGCGGCGCTCCGCGCCGCCGTTTTTGAGATATTCGCGAAAAACCACAGGGGGGGGGTGTTCAAACACCCCCCCCAGCAGGGCGCGGGTTAATAGCCGTTTTCACGACGGCCATCTGGTACACATTTGGTGCACATCTGGTACAGATTAGGTGCAGATTTGGTCAAATCAGGTTCAGTGTGTCTCTTAGCAGCTATCAGTTAGGGTTGCACTAATTGCTTATATCCCAGTAAACATGCCGACGTCGGCCCGACGTCGGCCGACGTCGGGGTGACGTCGGCAACTCGGCATCGGCATGCCGACGTCGGCCCGACGTCGGTCCAACCTCGGCACGACGTCGGCTGGATGTCGGATATGCCCGCATGTTCCGACGTCCAGCCGAGGTCCAGCCGACGTCGGGCCGACGTCGGACCGAGATCAATTGCTGAGGTCCAGCCGACGTCGGGCCGACGTCGGGGCGACGTCGGACCGACATCGGCCGCTGTTTTGACCGTTAAAATAATATAAAATACATGTTTCATGTTTCATAAAGAGCTTCTGTATTCAAAATATCCTCAGGAAACTCAAATCTTCCTCCACGCCGCAACCCCCTGATCCGGACTGGACGGGAAACTTTATCCCATTTGGGATTGCCCGTAAGCCGAGCTCGCCCGTAGCCGGGGCCCTGTTTCACCGGTGATAGCAGCACGCCGATTTTACGACTTGTCAAATTGGGTTTCCATGGAGACATCAACAGGCCCATTGCTCCAACACTACCACAAGTGTGACGTCAGCTCGCGCAATTTGATAGCAGCGTGGTAGCAGCAGCCCGTGAAACACCGCCCAGGTGCGGTGAGTGCTTGGGGGCTGCTCGGCCTATCCTTTGGTCAGGCTCAGCCCCGGAAACTCACCAGGGCCGGGCCCAGTTCATATAGAAAGGCCAGTCGGCAAGTGTCACTTTGCCAAAGTGCCACTTATCAAAGGGACACTTTGGGAAACGTTGGTGCAGGTGTGTAAGAGTGGCTATATGAATCCATTGTGGGGTCGCCCTTTCCAATAAGTGTCACGTAACAGCAATGGGACCAGGGACTCTATATGAACTGGACCCAGGGTGCTCGCCAAGAAGACCAATGTCGATCCATCCTATGATCCTTCCGGCTCTGAAATGGTCTTGTCAGACCGAAAGGGCATAACGGAACAAAACAAACCAGCTTCGTTAGCTGGCTGCGTGGTGTAGTGGTTAGCGCACTAACCTCGCGTTCGAATGACACTGGGTTCCAATCCCATCGCCGGCTGATGCTTTTGGCGTGTTGTCCCAGTAAACATGCCGACGTCGGCGACTGGGGGGCTCGAATCCCGCCGCCGGTTGATATTTTTTGGCGCGTTGTCCCAATAGACATGCCGACGTCGGCCCCGTCGGTCCAACGACAAACGATCTCGTCAACCTCGGCAAACGATCTCGGCCCGACGTCGGCTCGACGTCGGCTGGACTTCGGCTGGACGTCGGGACATGCGAGCATA